TCATCAAGTTTATGAGTAGTATTTTAAAAATCTAATAAGAAATTTATAAAAATCAAAAAAATATTTATTTACTATTATTTTTAGATTAATTATTTATAAATAAATTATTATTTCAGATGTTCTCATACACTTTATTAGTTTCTAACCATATTATATCCCTCTTAAATTTTCTTTAATTCAAAATTGACTAAATCTTCCTTGGTTTTAATTAAAAATAATTCAACAATTTCTAATAATTCTTCTTCAATTTTAATTTTTATTTTACTTTTTGAAAATTCAATAGCAATTTAAATTACATAACTATATATTTAAATAATATATACATTTCTCAGGATCTAAAGCTGAGTGTACCAAATGGATGTAGAACAAATTACTTTTCTTATTGTTAGATATCATCAATTTTATTATTTAATTTACTTTAATGGTACTTATTTTCATTAAAATTAAATCAGTAAAATGATAATTTAAGAATTAAAATAAATTAATTTCAGCAAAACAAGTTTGAGATTTGAATAATAAAGAAGTTTCACTTATCATCATAATCTAATTTGTGAAATTAGTGAACATCCTCTTTTATATTCGACCTTTTAATAAATAAATAGAGAGCATTAAAAAAATAATAGGGAAGCTTGTAAACTTGTAACTAAATAGTGAAAATTAAAATAAGTTAAATTAATGGCTCGAATAACTCAAAATAACAAAATATTCGAAAATCAACCTGAATAAACCATAATAGACATCAAATAAGACGAAAAAAATTTATTCTAACCGTATAGAAGAATATGTTACACTTTATTTCCGATGGAAGGAGTTAATAAAATCGAAATTAAAAAAAAATGGATAATGATCTATCACAACATTTAGCATTAATAAATGGACAAACAGATAAATATAGATGTATATTACTAGCGAAAAATTATCAGAGGTGTTTTAATTTGAAAATGAGCAATTAGATTTTTTTCCTACATGATTTATTATATTTTATGTCAAGATTTAATCTTGAAATGAAAATATAAATTTTGTTTAAAATAAAATATAAAAAAAAGTTTGAAAGAAAAATATAATTCTTACGTCTTAATCTTTAAAGAACAATTCCTTTTCTCAATTAATAAATTATTTTTATTGAATTGATATAAATTAGTTCCTGCTCTATTTTCTTAGTTTATTTAGTCATTTAATCCTTCAGATTATCTTTATTTGTTTCAGGAAAACTTATTTGTTATAATAAGAATTTGTGAAAAAATATTGTCAGTTTAAATATGAAGTGAAAGTATTAAAATTAAATTATTTAA